ATCTGGCCTGGATAACCTAACCACGGTTTTAGTAACCGTGACCTAACCAAGAAGTTTACTTAATTTTAGGGCAGTCAGGTATAATCGGTGATGCGATGATTGTCTTGTTATTTATATATTCCGTAGAACGTGCAAATTTGCCGTACCAGCTGCAAACAGTTCTTTTCATTCAGCATAATTGGTGAAATTTAACATCAACGATGACTTTAGTCGACACTGCAAGGAAATGAATCGGCAGAGTAGTCGCGTTTGAAGAAAAAAAATGTACGGTTCAACAACTATGTCACTGTACCTTCACTTTACATCACATGCACGTCTCAGTGTGTCGCCGAATCCCCCGAAGTGATCACACATTTTCTAATAAGCGTCAGTAAGTTAAACAACTCACCAATCCATTGTGAAAACTGTCTCAAATCACGTCACGCCGACAATGAGGTTTTAAAGTAGCGAGTTACGTTCAATCAAACCACTCGGATATATATATGATGGACAAAAGTTAATATAACACGAACATGTGCTCATTTCTTGTGAATGTGTTCACCGTGTATTGTCTGATTTTGACAACACGTCCACGTCATTTAAGTCTTGTTAGTTGGTAAGCCACGAAGCAGACAAATGTTTCAGTTCAGACACGAGTGAATGATTCAGACGCGACTAATAATCAGAATATTTTAAAATTACTATGACTGGCAATTATTCATCAGAAGTAATACCATAATGCCTGCTGGGAATTATATGACTGATCGAGTAGAACTGCGTATGATTAAGTAAATATAATGTAATCATATTGTTATTAAGTTGGTTAATACAGTATATGTTTCACTATTATGTACTGCAATAATCTCGTTTGCAGTGGGGGCTTGCATTGGGTATACGAATACATTGAATTCTGGGAAAAAAGTACAAAATAATGACAGGGAAGTATATTGTAACGGAGAGCGCGTCTGCTTACGGTTGCGGGGCGCATTTGCCATGTATACGATCTATAAAACACAACTGTCGAAATTAGAAATGTATAACTGAGCAATATATTAGATCTACCGTCGATTAACAAAGCTTAGACAAGAACGTATATGTTGTAATATTATCACTTCAAGGCTGGGCAAGTCAGACACTGAAATCCTGCGAGCTAGTCTCACTTGCCAGGCTCAAATCGTCTTACCAAGCAGCTTAGTGTGAATAATTGTACATCGGGTAAATTACAGTACTAGTCACAGTCAGCTGGCGCATACGTAATAATAAAATAAATACGATATTTACTATATGGGGGCCGCCATCTTGAATGCGGCATAAAACTAAATAAGAGACAAGTTGCGAAACGCGTTTTTCAGATTCCTAAAAATCTGGACAAAAATACCAATCTTTCACAAAAATGCGATCTGTTGGGGATATATAAAGCCAACCGATAACAAAATTCGGCCGAATTCGGCGTTTTTGTGTGGAAAAATCCCTTGCATACGAACACCTAATTACACGAATAATATAGAACACTTTCATGGGGTATTTTAAACCGAAATTGTCATCTGACTGTAAGGCCGTCGCTGATTGGCTGCTGAGCTAGAATGACAGTTTTTGGTTATTTATTTTATTATCACGTATGCGCCAGCTGACTGTGGTACTAGTATGTTGTACAGTACACTACACTATGGAAATCCATGACTGCCTTAATATCATGTAGTATATTATGTGCACCACTTAATTCTATGTACGATGTGTATATAATATTATGTTAAGTGTGTATACCTTTATATTATGTAAACATTAGCTATATACAATGTGAACATACCTTTATACGATGTGAACATACCTTTACACTACGTGAACATACCTTTATACGACGTGAACATACCTTTATACGATGTGAACATACCTTTATATGATGTGAACATACCTTTATACGATGTGAACATACCTTCATACGATGTGAACATACCTTTATACGATGAGAACATACCTTTATACGATGTGAGCATACCTTTATACGATGTGAACATACTGGGAGCTGGGATTAGACCGTCGTGAGACAGGTTAGTTTTACCGTACTGATGAGAAAATTCACCCGGCCCGGACACGG